TTGCACAGTTGTCAGAAAAGATAAACTGAATAATTTTAGTCACCAAGGCTTCTTCTATGACTTAGATATGATTTATCCTGGAGGATGCTGTAAGTGTGGTTGAGAAGAAATGCATTCTTGTGTTGAGTGGAGAGCTTTGCCAATGCCAGCTAAAACCATTTGGCCTACACTGTTCCTTTAGTGACCTTTTCTCCAGATGTGCTACCCATTACTGTAAATGAAGTATTTAAATCTATTAAGAAGAGCAAACAAAGTCCAAAATTAGCAGAAGGAATGCAATAGTAAAGATTCGAACAGAAAAAAAAGAAAGCAAATGAACAGTTTAAAAATCAAATAGAAATTAATTTTATATAAAGGAAAAATGAACAAATCTTAAAGCAAAGACACAAAAAAAGTTAAGCAAAATTATGAACACAAGGAGACACATTACAGTGGATGTCTCAGGCACAAAATAAATATTAAGAACTATTATATGAACAGTTTTAGCAAATGGAGTAACAGAATGAATGGATACACTCCTAGAAAATCAAAACTTAAACAATACTGAATGAAGATGGGACAGGAAGAATGGACAGACTAATTTGAAATATAATAATGAAGAAAATGTGGTTAACAGTCACTCTATTTTCACAGATGAATTCCATAAAAAACAAACAAAACAAAACAAAAAAACAAGGACTCACAACTAATTCTTCTTAAACTCTTTCTAAATATAGAAAGAATTTCAAATGTATCTGACTATTATCAAAGTTGACCAAAAACAAGAGAGATAATAAGACAGTTAATAAGAGAGTTAATAAGACAATTTCTGAAGATAGGTGAGAAAGTCTTCAATGGAATGCAAACCAAAGTCAACAAAACATTAAAAGGATCAAACATCATTTTCACTTCAAATGCAAGCTGGGCGGTGATGGCGCACGCCTTTAATCCCAGCACTCGGGAGGCAGAGGCAGGTGGATCTCTGTGAGTTCGAGGCCAGCCTGGACTACAGAGTGAGTTCCAGGAAAGGCGCAAAGCTACATAGAGAAACCCTGTCTCGAAAAACCAAAAAAAAAAAAAAAAAGAAAGAAATCAGTTCAAATGCATGTCAAGGATGCAAGGCCACTCAATCAGCATGACACAACATGTTAGCCCAAGTAAGAGAGAGAAAAAATGGATAATCTCAACATGTAAAAAAGCATTTACAACCTAGGACTAAAACAAAATAGCTATTGTAGGGTCTCATCCCAATACAATAAAGGACATGTGTAAAAAGCCTACAGCTAAAATAATAATCAATAAACTTTTAAATAATTTTCCTCTAAGTTTTGAAAAAGGCACAGATGTTCACCCTTATCATTTTTTCACCAGGTCCTTCTCGATCTAGTCAGTGTAGCTGAAGAGAGTGAAGTGGGAGGGAAGGAAGAAGGCGGGACTATGCTCCTCCCGGTCTGCTTTTGTCTCCACCCCATCATGTCCTAGGTCCCCCACTTTTGTTTTTACTTTGCAGTTACTATGACATAAACACACTGAAGGAAAAAAGGCATCCCATATTTGTGTGTAGTAAACAGTTCACTCTAAGTATGAATTGGTTTTGCTTATCGACTATAAATTTAAGAAAAAGAAGATGAAAGGGAACATCTACTCCAGAGTTTTTCTGAATCTTAGATTTTATATGAATAGGAATTCCTAAAGTGTTAAAGAGTATTAAAGAGTCATACAGATCAAATACTCTGAATAAGCCCTGCCTTCTTTCATGATTGCTAATAAGGAAGGGAATACGGGTACCTATCCCCATGTCTGTATTATATTCCGAGGATGCTCTGGAGAAGGAGATGAAGACGATCTGGAAGATGTTCCTATACATCCTCTTTATGGGTAGTTGTCAACAAAAGCTCCCCTAGATTGTGTCCTTGCCATTTAGGATATCTTTGATCCATGGGCTCTATTTACATATTTATTTATTTATTTGTTTGTTTGTTTAGTGCACAGGGAGGCTCTATTTATATATTTATCTATCTATCTATTTATTTATTTAGTGCACAGGGCCTGGCCTATAAAGGTGTCCTCTACTGAGAAACACATAGTGAGTAACCAATAGGGTAGAAGGTTTCCACAGCCAGGAACTGACCTGGCATGAATTGAGAGTCAGATTGTTTATTATTGGGTGAGACCCATGTTATAAGTTCCAGTATTTCCTATATATTTCACAATCCCTGCCAAGTGTTGTCAGTAAAAGAATCACCTTCAGGATTCAGGAAAGCCTCCATTGACAGCTGAGGGGCAGACTGGGTGAAGCAGAAAGCACTCATTTCTAGGGCCAGGAGAACAGAAGGTGTTAAGATCTGGGGTTCTGAAGTCAAACTGCCATGTTCTGAGTACCTGGAATTAATATGCGAGGTGCTGGCTTCCTCTGGTTAAGATGGAGTATGTAGCATCTAGTTTTACTTTTTCTGATCTCCAATATCATGCCCTTGGCCTGACACTGGCCTGGCCTCTGTGGCCAGGGGATCTCCAAGAGAGTAGAGGATTCTCTGGTGGCTGAGTGTCTTTGCAGATGTCTGCTTTTCTTCCCAATTAGATACTCTCTACTCTGCCAGGGATGGCTTTACATCTCTCCCCTTGTACAGCTACCCTCTCTGTGACTGCTTTCAACCTTGAACCCTTGCCATGATGACCACGCAGTGAGATCTAATAGGGAAGGTGGCTATAAATAGCCAGTTTTTATAATAGTTGATAAATATCAGTGGCCCGAATGCAGGCTGAGTATGTCTGAAACTCTGCTTGCCAAATCTAAAAGTACCCATGACCTGCATGTAACTTCTTTTAGTTGGGTGACATCAGACTCTGAGCCAAGTCACAGGTGTGAACCTCTCATAACCAATTATCTCCTGAAAGGTCTCCAGCCTGTTTGTCTGGGATCAGATAGGAAAGTGATGGGCACCAGAGGCAAATCTGTGAGAGAGGGCCAAGCCTGCTTGTCAGCTATGGCAGCTGAGACTAATATGAGACCAGTGCCACTGAGGTAAATCAAGTATTTCCTAGGATTCAGCAGAGACTATGGTCCAGAGCGGCCAAGGCTGCATCTTTTTTCTCTCAGTCAAACTTGGTAATGTCTAAGAGTCTCCCACATGGTACTGGTTTTGGTGGCATAAAAGCCAAAGGAAATGCCAGGATTGTGTGATGACCAGATGTGCTGTGTGTGCTCTGACAAGGAGAGTCAGAGAAATAGAGCTGCCCAAGTCCTTTAGAGCCCAAAAGTACATGAATGAATCCTAGATATGGGATGGACACAGAGCTGTTTACAGTGTCAGACTTCAGTTTTGTTGGGAAGTGGTTCTGAGTGTGCCCTAGTTCTTCCCTCTTAGATTTAGAATTAATAGACAATTTCTGCAAGTGACTAGAATTTCGGAATTGGTAGGTGGATGGGTCTGAGAATGAGGAAGATCAGTCTTGACTCTAGAGCTCCCCTAGTAGATGAGCGGGCTAATGAGCCTGAGCCTATCTGCCTCCTCTCTGCATCAGGCTCTGTCTTTAATACTGTGACTGATCATTAGATCACGTGAGGCTAGCGCAGAGCAGGACTCAGAACACAGGTAAATGGGGCTTCTGGTTTCCCTCAGAGCTTATTGTGGTTCATGAAAAGAGGAAACTGGGAGATGGTAGTGGATCAAGCCATGGGTAAGGTGCGGAAAATGCATCTGATCTGCCCATGGGACAGACTAGACCACACTAACATTCTCTGCTGACAGACTGGACATGCCCATCTAGGTGAACTAAGGAATGAAGGAAGAGAGAAACAACTCTGACCCAAGGCTTCTCTCTTTGTTTATTTCTCTGTCTCCACCTTATTGCAGATGGGACAAACTAATTCTAATAAAGTAACCACTCAGCTGACTTTTGAAACACTGGCAGAATTAGAATTGCATCCTTAGACATTCAAACAAACAAAAACCCTGACATTTCTTTTTCACAAATCATAAAGAATATAACTCTTTATTATGATAGTGTAACTATATCTTCCATTATATTATTTTAAATCAGAATTTAAACAGATCATATGTAAAGATAAGTATACAACCTTCTCTAACTACTTAATCCTAAAACAATACATACACCTGTTATCTATATCAACTTGGTTCTGTGACTTGTTTATTGCTATTATAGAAATAGAAAGTATTATGAAATTATGACTTCATAGTAACTGTTAACTCCTATATAACTTTAAAACATAATTCTGCCAATTACTATTCCTTTGATTGATGCCAGGGAATGAACTCTTTGTGGGGCTAGTCCTTGGGTGAGATGAGCAGAGGAGAGTTCATTTCACCTCACTAATACGTTCTGATCAATAAAAAAATTCCTAAATCCATCCTCCATAGGCTTTACTGATATTATCTTTGAAAGAATGAAGAACAGTGACTACCATTTTGAGGTGCTCAATATGGACATGTAAGTGGAGGCCAGCCATGAATATGAAAGACAGAAAGGAGGGGTATAAGAGAAAGACTGGAGAGAGAGAAGGAAAGAGGGAAATGTTGCAATTATATTATAATCTCAAAAAATAAAAAAAAAATCAATGACACAATAAATAAAAATTTAAAATACTAAAAAGTATGGATGTAATTTTTTACTAGTATCACACATTTAAATTTTCTGCAAGTATAACTAAAGTTTTTTTTAAATATGCATAAAACTTAGAAATAGGGTTTTACCTATCCGTTTACATTCTGTATGCATATACCTCCTTTGTTATATGCCTCCACTGACTTTTTTGAAAGAAGGCATGGTCCTGATATGCCCTGGGGCGTTTCCTTTTAGGCATTCAGACGCACCTATATTCATTCACATAACCTTCTTGTTAGCAGAGTTGAAAGAAAACAGGTACAGAGGCCCAATTACAGACTCTCAGCCACAAATGCAAAAGAACCACCAAATATCTCCACCAAAAGGAATGTTCACTGAAATTACTTGGATCTTAAATCATAAATAGGTAATATATATATATATATATTACTTACCCGGTTTATACTGCTGTTCCCTAAAATAGCCTGAAGTAGAGTTTTCTCAAATTCTTCCAACTTCTTAGAACATTTTTTAAGAATATGATTAGATAAATTAAAATCACTCGCCAGTCTAGCTAATGTAGCAACAGCTTCCGTCCAAAAGCTTGAGAAAGGGAGTTTAGGGTTACGGTAAAACGTGATCAGGCCATCTAACAACTGTGAAACAGAATCAGAAACTGCGGAGGAGTCTTTTTCAAAGTGGGTTAAGTACACTTTCAGACTACTGGATTCTCTCAGTTTCTTCAGTTCAAGCAGATGTTGCAAGAACTGCAAGTGAGAAGATGGAGGATTCTCCAGGGTGGTGCATGGCTTTTTCTCAAGAGGCAGTGGTAGAAGGGACGAGGGACTACAGCTCTCCACAACATGCTGGGACAACTCTGCAGATTCACTTCTTTGCTCATTTGATAAAACACATCCAGAGTCATCCATCAAAGCCAATGTATTCTCAGAACTTGTAGGCTCCTGATCTGGCAATGGGGGGAACACATCGTGTCCTGAAATAGGAAGATGCAAAAGCATTATCTTCCTGCAGCTAGGTGTCTTAAAAACGATACAATGATTCTCTTCTATATGAAAATACTGCATAAAACATACAAACATACATAACCATTTAGCAAAACAGAAACTGTTTAGTTTGACTAAAGAAATGGTTTTACGCATATTCAGTTAGATCTCTCACAGGGAGGAAAGATCGTGAGAGCCGGAGGTGATTGACGACTTTAAGAAATCAGTGTCCTGCAGATTCAACAGTATGGATGCACATATGAACTCAGAGAGACTGTGGCAACATGTACAAGGTCTGCACAGGGTCGAGCTTTAAGCATTCCCTGTACTGTGAGGGGGAAGTGGACACTGGATCCCATTCCTCATCAAGAAGCTATTTGTAATTGATAAAATGCTGGCAAAGGGAAAATCAGTTTTCTCAAATGGAGTGTCACTGGGAATATTAACCACAGTCAGTCCAGGGCAGGCCCCATGCACAGGAGTAGTTGATTAACACAGAAGAACTCCATGTTTGTTTGTTTGTTTTTTGTGGAAGTTTGATTCCACTTTGGCGTTTTTTTTGTTTTTTTTTTTTTTTTTTTTGCTTAATTTTTATGGTTTTATGATGTCTTTTTTGGGGAAAGAGAGGAAGTGGTAATGGCTGCACAATCTTTTGAATATGCTGCATTAAAAGACATTGAATTGTATAAATAGGCAAATTGTATGCTACATGAATTATTTACCAATAAAGATTTTCTTAAAGAAAATTATAGCAAACTGAATTCAAGAAAACGTTAAGAAGATCATACACCATGACTAAGCTGCTTTCATTCCAGGAAAGCAAGATTGTTTCAGCATATTCAAATAACACTTGCTATTATCAACAATCCTATAGTAAGTTCTATACTGAATGGAAAACTGAGAGCAATTCTTCTAAAATCTGGAAGGAGATGAAGGTGCTCACTCTCTCCACTTCTTTTTAATATAGTACTTGAAGTCTTGGTGGAGTAATAGGACAAGAGAAAGAAAGAAAAGGGGAAGCAATAAACGAAATGAAATACAAATGGCAAAGAAAGAAGCCACAGTATGCATAATTACAGATGGCATGATCCAGGATTTAAAATATCTTAAAGACTCCAACTAGAAAATTGTTACATCTGATACCATGTTCAGCAGAGTAGCAGTACACACAATCAACACACAAAAACCAGTAGCTTTTCTATATTCTAGAAATTAACTGAAGAACAAAGTAGCTCATTCATTATGCCTTCAAAAATTCAAATACCTAGGAATAAAGTTAACCAAGGGATGAAAACCTATACTTTGAAAACACTTATGTAAGAAATCGAACAATACACTAGAAGATCTCCTACACAGACTAGCAGAATAATGTGAAAATGATTATATTACTGAAAACAATCTATAGATTAATGAAATTTCCATTAAAATGCTAAATATTTTCCTCTCAGAATGAGAGAAAAATAGGGAAGCACAAAAACTTTAAACAATCCTACACCAAGCAGAAAGAGGAATGTCAGAGACATAATAATCCCTATCTCAAGCTATACTACAGAGCCACAGTAGCAACACTACACGGTAGTGGTGCAAAATCAGACATGTAAAAAGAACAGAGAAATCAGATAGAAGTCCTCACAGAAACAGCCAGAGGACTTTAGAAAAAGATGTCAAAAATATATTGGAGAAAAGACAGCCTTTCCAACAAACGATGCTGAAAAACTGGGTTTCTACATGAGAAGAATGAAATGAGATCCACATCTCTCACTTTACTTAAAAGGCAACTCAAACAATAAAGACCTTAATATAAGACCTCAAATTCTGAAACTATTAGAGGAAATCTTAAGAAAAATCCTTCAAGATAGAAGCACAAGCAAGGATGCCAATAACTCAAGAAATTACACCCAAAAAAATGAACATAAGATTGTATAAAATTAAGAGGCTTCTGCACAGGAAAAGAAAAAAAAACTTGCCTGAGTAAATAGAAATCCTACTGAATGAGAGGACCATTTCTTTTTTTTTTTTAATTTTTATTTTGCAATACAATTCAGTACTACATATCAGCCACGAATTCCCTTTTTCTCCCCCCTCCCGCCCCCCTCACCTTCCCTCCAGCCCACCCCCCATTCCCACCTCCTCCAGGGCAAAGATCAACCTGGTAGACTCAGTCCAGGTAGGTTCAGTCCCCTCCTCCCAGGCCGAGCCAAGGGATCCTGCATAGGCCCCAGGTTTCAAACAGCCAACTCATGCAATGAGCACAGGACCCGGTCCCACTGGCTGGATGCCTCCCAAACAGATCAAGCCAATCAACTGTCTCACCAGCACAGGGACAAATAGCCAAATGAATGGAAACACATGAACTATGAACCAATGGCTGAGGGGTCACCAACTGGAGAGGACCATTTCTTAATTTACTATTGTGCTGAAAATAACAGCTTTCCAACTTGTATATATGATCTTCCTAACATGTTGATTGGTAGATTTAATAGAGATAAAATATACATAAACAAATTGATATTGTACTCTAATAAACATTACATACTCAATAAACATAAACCACTGCTATAAAAAAACTAGTACACCTAAGAAATCTATAGTGAAATATGTATCATATATAAAAATTGAGGGAATGAGATATTATCTAAAAGCTGTAACAAATACTACCTACAGATTCTCTCTACAAATTCTATATGTATCTCTTACATAATGAATCATAAAGATATTCTATTTCATTTTGCTGAACCATAGGCCTTACATTGATCTGTTTTTAAATTCTAATTTAAAGCCATTTATCATTTTAAAATAGATCTCAATAATATTCAACAAAATAAAGTGTGTGCCTTCCTGTAACATACCTTGTCATAGAAATATTTCCCCAAACATCAGGAAGGAAGGAAGAAATGTCCCTTACTAGAACAGAATGAGCTTTTCTTTTCTGGTCATGCCTTCACCTTATTGGATGAGGCAACCCAATCTATTGTACTCAGTCTACTGGCACAAATAATCTTACCCCAAACCAAAGAGTTCTCAGATATCTGAAGTGAAACTTAAAATTAATAATCAAGACACCCATTTCTAAGTATGCCCTCCTCCAACCACTTCCTCATGTTGGTTCATGCCACCTTCATCTCTTGAACATATAAATGCAACATCTTCACCTACATAATCAATCAGCCTCTAGTTCTGTCTCCTCTAGGCTACCTTCACTAAAGTACCACTTTAGTGAAAATATTCCAGAAGCTTCTCTCATGTGATAGAGCAGAGCCCTCCAAGGTCCTCAGATCAGCACACAATTCCTATCACTGTTTGCCCCCCACATTTTTATTTAGTTTACATTTATCTCCACCCTCATTTCATGCATGTAACGATAAGCAACACAGAGTTCACAAAACCTGCCACACTGTTTCCCATAGCGATGAATTTGCACATACTGGTCTCAGATACATACTGATTTTTCTTCAAATCCAGCCTCTTATCCTCTGTGAAACTGTCCAAGTTTTCCTCAGGCTTAGAAAAGCCTTACATGCACGTCATTACTACTCATCTTAATCTGTTTTGAATATATTAGTGATTCCATACTGAAAGGAGAAGTTTCTGAGGAAAGAGTTTATTTGTGAGGATGTTTCTATTGTTTAATGCCTGCTTTCTACCTCGTTGGTAATTTGAATACTTCTTGAAAGAATATCTCTCTCTCTCTCTCTCTCTCTCTCTCTCTCTCTCTCTCTCTCTCTCCACACACACACACACACACACACACACACACACACACACACACACACGTATATTATGATTAAATCAAGTAACATCCATTCAAATATATTCAGCATAGGGATGTACAATTTGCCACTACCATTTATGATTTCCAGGCATTAATAATCATTATCCAACATAAACTCATGCATTGAATAATGTAAAAGTAATGTTTATGCCACCTGGTGGTCAAACAGAAAATGTTATTTAAAGCCATTTCATAATTCTGTTCATAATAATACTTTTTATAATTTTTGAAGTTATAAGATAATTAAATTTAATTATAATGTAATTAAATATATATATAAAATTAAATTTTCCCTTCCTCCTTCCAACCTTCCAATCCTTCCCATGACCCCCCTTCTCAAAATCATGGCCTCTTTACATATACATATATATACATATATGTATATATTCCTAAATTCATAAATACAACCTGCTCAGTCCATGTCACCTGTGTTTATATGCTCTCAAGGCTGATCACTTGGTATAGGACAGTCAATTTGGGAGCTCTTAACAACAGTGTTTCAATTAAAAGCAAGTGTTTGTTTCTTCCTCTAGGAATATATATTTTAGCATGTGATGAAGCATATTTGAAAAACACTGACAAATAAAAGGTTTCAGCTGTATTTTATCCAAGAATAGCAATGTACATCACCATTCTATCTTTAAATATACCAAAGAGAGAGAAATGTCATATATATGGAAATGTAACCAAATGGCATATCTCTTGGTTGAACTGTCTTTTCTGAATAAAAAACAAAATGCGTATTTGTGGGCCGACTTTGACATAGACAATCTGATACCACAATTCCTCTTGCCTTCAAGTGCTCAGGCTCTGGGGTTTCCTTAATGATTCTTTCCTACAGCATCTTGTAGTTTCCCAAAGGGAATTTTCTTCATTGTTATACTGTTTTATCTGTGGCTTTCTTCACCAATTTCACCTTCCTAAATATCTCCATCATACAGCCTCAAGGAATTATTTCACTAAAGACTCTCAAATCTATATCTCTAATTTCAACCCATTCTCAAATAACTGGTTTTCTTGGCTGACTATAGTCCCTGTTTTTAAATGGTGACAGCATTTTAATGAGTTATTTCTTACAAAATAATTATTAGCATTTTATTCAACTTAGTTTTAAAAATAACTCTTTCTGATTTGAACTTACGACATCTAGGTTTAGCATACATGGGGTAAACTAAAGAATTTCTGAAAAAAATTAATGAGAGGCAGTACAGTGAACAA